TCCCATTCTAGCACTGAAGATTTTACCTAGCTGGGTAATGAAATGTTTGCAAGAAAAGAACCAAGCTCAGAGAACTCCAAGGACTCTACAGCCTCAAAATTCATTCACCTTATACAAAAAATGATACTGGAAAAACACCAGTTAAAGCTATCCCTCACTCCATGCTTCTTTGTCATTCTAAGAAATTACTTAGAAAGTAATGAAATGCAAAAACTGAAGCTGTATCTTGACAAAAGAACATTATTTTAACAGGCTATACTTTTAGTTCAAAGCCTACCATTTTTTTAAACCTAACATACAATTTATCTGAAAGCAGTATCTAATGCATCTAGCACAATGCCTGGAATTCCATAATCAAAATAAGAAACCAGCATCTCAGCAAACACTAAAGCTGCAGTTTATACCCATAGAACCAGCACGTTAAAAACAACAGTACACATCCTGCAAGGTTCTGCAGCTCTTATTTATAAAAACTAATATTCTTTATATTTTTGAAAATGCAATGGATTTGTCAGGACTTATTAAGGAAGTTTTAGGACTATTTGGAGGCAAGCACACCACTGCATAAACCTTGTTGTTCAAATGGACAACAAGAGATAAATGTTATGTAATAACGCAGTTATTCCAAAATAATTTCAAACCCATATTCACCACTCCAACTTAGATCAATTTAGGATCTTTCTGAAATATTAAAATATGGTTAAAGATTTAACATACATTCATGTAATTGCAACTAAAGTGATAGTGTTTGCTTACCAACTTTCTATTTTAATTGTAATGGTTAGCATAAGTTCACTATTCCCTGGAAAAGTCTACATTAAAAAGGAATCTAAATAAATAACCAAGTATAAAATTAAGAAGTTACTAGAATTGAAGGTTCTAGTAATTGCAGTTACACACTGAACTGAAAAGTTGTTCATCTTACTACATTTCCTACATAGTCACTTCTAAGATTTATTTATAAATATGACTCCAATCATGTGAAGTTATTTTCAGCTGACCCTGAATTTATTTTTTAATTCACAACCCAGAGTAGTTCCATCATTTTAAACTGCTTTTTATTTTTAATAACAGGATATTTAATTGTATTATTTTTGGCATTTTCTTAATTGAACAAAACAGCATATATCAATTCTCTTAAATAATAAATTATAGCCATCCAATTTCTCACCTCTATGGCTTGGATTCTCTTTCGTATGTCAAAATATTGTATCAAAAAGAGAGCACTTTCCTGGTTCTGGGTTAAAGCTTACTTGCAAGTAGTCACCAGCAGTTCAAATGCTTACTCACAACTCAGTGGCAAGATCATATATCATATTCCCCTAAAATTGTATATTGAATAACCTCACCCGAACCTATGCTACACTGCTACACTGTTACCAAACGAATTTATCAGTAATGGACAGAACTCACACTTTTAATACATTGCCACCCCATCCAAATGACAATTATTTCCATTCTATTTGCCAATATTGTATCTCAAAAATACCAACCTTCTAATTGCCAAGAGCCCCTCCCTGAGAAATCATTTATCAAGCGAGCTCTCACATTTATTGGCTTCATTCTTAGATATCAGTTACCAGCTAGAATAAAGTGTGCATAAGATCAGCAGTTCTGCAAAGCCTGTTCTTCCATCCTCTTCTCAGAGCTCTCTAAACATACAAAAAGATAGAACATATCAAATGGCTCTTTCTATCCCATCTATGATTCCGCTGACCCTCAGTCTCTCTTGCAGGCAGAAACAAGTCCCCAGTGACATGTACAGAACCTGCAGAGTTGGATGCACATAAAGTTCACTATTTTTGGCTGAACTTGCAATCACTGGGGGGGGGTGTGTGTGAAACCAATGGGTAAAATCTTCTTCTCTTTCAATGCTATGGCAAACACATGGAAATCAAATCTCACCTTTTTATCATGAATGTATAATCAGTGATTTAAATGTTAGACCTTTATACAGCACTGGCACCAAGCTATCTTCCAACCATCTTTTCCAACTGAAACCAACCACTCAGTGCAATCATTTTGGGAGAAGCTATTTGTTACTGTATTTCATGAGGTACAGAAAGCAGAAGCCAGGAAATGTTTCATTATCTTGTCATCATATTATGCCCAACTTCACTTTGGAAATCTGACTGTTCCCCTCCCCCCCCCCACAATGGTAATGGCCTTTCAGAAATTGGTGAAGATTAAGTTTTCTGGAGATCCTTCAATGATTTAATGACATTTTTTATGTGATATTATGAAACTGTTGTTATAATTTTAGGAATTGACTATTTATTTATTACATTTAATACAGATTATATTTTATTACTGCTTTAATTCTTGATATGGTTTGCTGTTGTAAGCCTTTGTGAATCTGAAGGAATTTAGTTAATATATTTAATAAGTAAACAAGCAAGTAGAATGTGCAAAATGTTCAACCACAGAATATTTCAACCTTGGAAAGGTCTATTTTAAGCTGTCCCAAATGTGGCTCAACCTCAAAATGGGAATGGTACAACACTGGAGACCCCAGTTCAGGGTTGAAATGTTCTGTCACTGAATATTTTATGCAGTCCTGTCAACACAGTACAGCCAGCCTGAAACAGGCAGGCCACTGACTAGAGAAACTCTTAAATTCTGCTATTTAAGACTGATATAGTTTCAAAAACATTGACGTTGATATCATAACATAGTCTAGTAATAACCAGCATAGCAAAGGCTATGAAAAAACATTGTCTTACTTCTGACAATCCTAAATATAATAGGATTTGTATACAGAATCTGTACATGGACGAACCACAATCCAGGAAGTTCATTATTCAAATCTTAGTTCTTCATGGATTTATTGGGTGACCTTAAGCAAATAAACAGTATCTCAATTTTTACATGTTTTTAATAATATAGACTACATGAACTGTTTCATAACTGTTTTAAGAAGTTCTGATATGCACACTTCACTATGTATATCATACTCAAGCTACTTCAGTTTTAAGGAAAAGTCACTAAGTATTAATGTAAGTTGTAGAAAATGTCTACTAACTAAATAATTTTAATCAAATTAAATTAAGGCAAGAACAATAATGACAAGAAAGCTAGGAATGTATTTATTTATTTATCATATTTATATAGCCACCCATCTCACATGAGGTGACTCTGGGTGGCGTACAACAATTAAAAAGAATAAATACATAAAAACAATTATAAATAAAAAACTATAAAAACACACAAAATAGGAAGGGATAAAATTAATAAAGGAGCCATCGCAAAATCTCCCTGGTCCCCTGGGAGCCCCAGGCCTGATCACAGCCAGGTCTTGAGGGACTTGCAGAATGTTAAAGGGGATGAAGCTAATCTCACTTCTGTTGGGAGAAGATTCCACAAGGCGGGTGCCGCCTCCTGGGACCCACCAAATGGGATTCTCTGGCAGACGGGACCCACAGCATGCCTCCTCTGCCAGACCTGATGGGACGGGCAGATGTAATCAGGGAATGGCAGTCACTCAGCTAACCTGGCCCCATGCCATGAAGGGCTTTAAAGGTCAAAACTAGCACCTTGAATTGGACCCGGAAGTAAACTGGCAACCAGTGCAGCTC